ATGATAGAAATTATTCACATTGATATATTATCAAAGTTCAATTGTAAGTTAAAACATCATTTATTTACTTTCGAACAGAATACTATCAATTTATCAGTTTTCTATACTATGATATGTTTACTAGACATTCATCAAACAAGCATCAAATATAGAAAATTTAACAAGTTGAAATTGTTTGTAAAAATATTTCAGGCTCTATAGTCTGATAAATTCACTTTTTTTTGTTGAAGATTAACAGTAACAAGTCAAACAGTGCATTAAAACTTTGGAAAAGTTGCCATTTTTAGCAATTTTTGTCGAATACTCTTAACTCTTTCACAAAAAAAAAATAAAATTTCAAGAATGAAGATACAAGAAAAACTTAGAACCGCAGTCTCTCGAGTAGAATTCGAATATATTTTGAAAATAAAATGGTATTTGCATGTTCGAGAAGTAAGATCGATTATTGAGAGGGAAAGTGAAGGTGGATTGAAAATGCATGTTCAAGTAAAATAGTAGTTTCGCTATTATTTACTAATCAACATAGATTATTAACTAAAAATGAATATTCTCTATTAAATAATTCTTCTGAATATTCTTCATTAATATCTTATTCTAATGATCGATCATATGAACAAATTAGACAAATAATTAAAAAGTTTAATACCTTTGTTTATTATATCAATATTGGTTTATACAAATTTCTATTGTAAAAGATGTACGAATACCGATTTAACAACAAGAACAAGGGGAAGATTTTCATCAAACGAGCTTGAAATAAAAAATGACTAACTTACTAAACAGCATATTAAGAATATTTCACTAAACAAACAATCTATTACGATTAAATCTTTTACATATTTAATGAAATTTGAGAAAATATCTTCAAGTATTGATCCATAACAAAACAACTCGTTTCTGATAAAAAAAGGTGAGGATCTGAATTAGATTGTAATTTATGTTAATGTCATCTAAAATTTCTTTTCTCGTATATCGGTTATTTAATTAATGCCAGTCGACAATTTGATCTGAAAATTTTTATTTGTTTTCGATAAAATCTTTCATATATTTGGACAAAATTTGAGTTCAATGTCGTTCATTAGATATGGTGATAAATATAGGTCACATGTTGAGTAAAACAATGATAAGTCTCGGCTTAAGGTAAGGTTAGAATTATTTTCGAGTTTTTCTTTTAATTGAATATTGTTTATCGAACAAAGTATGAAGGAGATAAGATGAATCTGAAAACTTTGTGTATTATTCTTGTTAAATTTATATTTGTTTTTAAAAATTGATTTTGAATTTTTAATAAAAGATCATTCAGATCAAAATTATATTTTTAAACGTTTTTGTTAATTATCGAATGAACTCGAAATAATTTGAGTATTATTTCTAAAAATAAAAAACGTAGTAATAATAAAATTTTCTTCAATTGTGCCAAAAAAAAATCTTCGTACAATACAATTATTTGTTAGTTCAATAATTGCAGAGAATATTGTGAATATGCATCAAACAGCAAAGCATATAAAATCAGTCGATTTCCATCACTACACAAAGAGCCAATATACAAAGAATCGCAAGGATATTTATCATAGGGCATACAATATTTTACACTTATATAATCTTCATATTGTTAATAGAGTGATTTCTAATAAACTGAATTTGTTAAGGACATGGAGATTATGGAAGACTTCGGTACTTTTATTGATCATTAGTAAATGCTATTTGAAATTCAATTGGAAGAAGACGTTCAAGATTTGAACGACTTTTTGAAAAAAAAATGAAGTAAGAGGAGTTTTTAATAAATTTGATCGGAGAAGACTTTTGTATGTTGAATAAGATGATTAGTTTGATATCGTTGATCTTTTAATGAAATAATATCAATATACTGATAACAATCTTCATACAAAAAGTTATATGAACTTTCATTCGAATAAAATACATTCAAATAATAATTATTTATATCTTCGTTTGATAATGATTCAACACAGAATTTAAATAATAATAAAACAATTTCTGTATGAAATCAATTTCTTTTCTTTTAATAATAAGTAACAAGATAGATCGTTTATTATTTTTATCGTTTCTATATTTCAGTCAAAAGAAAGAACTAATATAATTAATGACAATATTCTCTCTTCGACTAAATATCAAATGTAATAGATCATTTATCTGCTAGATTATTTTCATTAGTTCATTCGTTTTATTAAATGAACATTATTGATTATTGAATTTTTTTCTCAAAATTATCTTTATTAATGAAGCAATATTCTATTCTTTAAGATAATTTATTTCTCTGTATCCTATTGGGAATATAAGATCAATAATGTCATTTGTATATATCGACAAAGAATCCAAATCTTACTTGAAAGAGAAATTTCCTGTTTACCTATAATTAAACTGCCCTCTAGAATTATTTTCGAGATGTTGATGTTGAAAATAGTAAATTATAATTTTTATAGAATTTAATAATATTAATTGAATGAATTTTAAGTTGATTTATATAATGTTCAAGTTGAAAATATATTTACGGATAAGTTTTTCGAAAATTGTCAAAGATGCATATTAATAAAATGGGTTTCAAATGATAACATTTCTAAATATTTGTTTAGATATTCGATTAACTGACAAATTATCAACAATATTTCAATAAGTAATTGATTTGTCTTGTGTCAGACATTAAAAAAAAATGGATTTTGTAAAAAACTTTGAATATATTCATAAAATAATATCTGAGAAAATGAAAGATATCGATTGTCATTCAAAAACTCAAAATATATTACAGATGTGGATAAAGCTCACACTCATAACTGACCCACATCTACACCTTTTTCTTTCTACCCTCTTTCATTTAAATTTATTTGTGTGTTTGTAGTTCAGTTAATTTTTCTTCCTTTATTTCTATGACATATATATTTTATGACGATCGACTGCTTATAGTAACGGCATTTTTCTCTCGTCAAACGACTTAATGGTCATCCGAAGACAAGTTCTATGTGAAATGATACACTAGATTTCAGCCTCTTTAAGGGTATTCCCCTTTTTAGGCTTTCTCAAGAACGATTCAATCGAAATTTCTAAAACTTGCAGGGCAGATATATTGGTGGTATTAGAGTCAGTTTCGAAAAATGCTCCGTTCTCTGAGAAAGAGAGATCAGAGCGGTTAAAAATGATCCTATTTCTCCTAGATACTACTTTTGATCGAGCTGAAACCTTGTTTTTTTTACGGATGCAAGAAACTGTTTGAGGTGTATAGCTTCTTTTTTCGATGTCTTTTATCTTGTCCTCTTCAAATAAAAAAGGTCAAAATACGAAATGAACCATAAAAAAATGCTTATTTCTACATTAGGTTAATATTTGTAACATTTGCCAAAAACTAACAGAACAATATTTTTTTTCAAATGAAAACAACCAAACAGTACATTAAAAAATAAAGTATTGTCTTCTCCAGAAGACTGCAGTAACTCTGCATGATAGCAAGTTTTAATTTTCTGGAAATTGAAATAAAATAAGGACAGCAGAATTTCAAAGCGATTTATGTCACAATTTTGGTTGGATTGGACTAGGTCACAAAATTCAAGTTTTTTTGATTTCGTATACTCGGTATGTTCATTCTACTTGACAGACCTAACATTTTCAACATACTAGTTTGAATTCTCCTTTCCAATTTAACCCAAAATTGTGAAATAAATTTTCATAACATATCCTATTAACACTTCTTTGAATTTTTAGAACATAGAGATTTCTCACTAACTTCACTTCTATTTAGGTAAATGATGGTGGAGTCACAGCAAAACGCTGAGAAGAAGAATAAGGACACTTCTACTCTTGTTGACCATCAATCTGCAGCAACAACGTCATTAGTACTCTATTTCCATATTGAAAATATTTTGTTGGTTACATGCCCGTCTTTGATTTTCAGAAGCCGTTCTTGGTGCGGTTGTTGACCAATAGTTGTAGTTTGTAGCCTTTTTGTCATCGGTTTTCTAGTGGTGGATACGCTTACTATTACATTAACTTTAATTTATTTACCTTGACGAGGCGATTCTTAATAGACAAACAATTATAGGTTATTTTCTGAATTTGTTTTTTATTAGAAACCTTTCAACGCAATTCCGATAGATTTGAAATGTGAAATACAATGGAGTCACTGAAATAGGCTACCTTACTTTTACGGCAATCGACTTTTAGCTGTTCAATAAATTCCATACAGCATATAGTTGACGACTGACAGATATTTCATTTTTTCGATCTATTCTTATATTCAAACAACCCTATATGTGCATTATTTAAATAAGTATCCAATCGGTTCACCAATTTTGGGTGTGGGTGTGAGTGTTGTTTTCTCTTGATCCACGTTGACAGCCACACTCTTTAGAATAAAACACAGTGTTGGTTCCAAACGTCATAATTGCCAGTGCATACACGAATACTTTTTCCATCACGATCATACAGGTTTATCTTTTTGGTAACTTACTATTTTTCGCGTCATGTATCTCATTACTCTATGGTATGCTTCATCATCGTCTTTAGATGAATTTTCATTAAAAATGAATTCTTTTAGTATTACAATATCTCAGACTCATGTTTCTGACCTGATCAAGTGTTGGACCGATCGTGTTACAGGAGACTATATCGAATGTTAATTGGAACTAAAATAGTTTACGAATGTTTTACATATAGCAGTTAATTAGTAAGGATGCTATAGATGATCTCGTTTCTTTTTATTTTTGTTTTCAATTATTTATTAGCGTCTTGGATACAATCTAGGCGTTTTCGATACCATATGCTTTCTTCTTCAAGTCCATACTTTTCACATAGATTGATAAATTTTTCATAAACATCTCAAATATTAAATGAAGTGTTGAATAAAGTTTTCGTAAACAAACAGGACATAGATATAAAGGCTGCCAATCCATTTCTATTTCATGATTTGCACCATTCATCAAACAAGTATAATAGATACAGTGTCTTAGACCAAATGAATGACCTAACTCACGTAGCAGAATTTTTATAGAACGTCAAAGCATTATTATTCGATGTTTATCAGTTAATGGAGATAAGAGTAATGTTTGTGTTGATGCAGGAAATAATGGATCAAGACGTGCAAATGAATAAACACCAACACCATCGATTGCTCGTGCCTGTCCATAAATAAAATTCCAACTTTCGTTGGGATAAATATCAGCCATAGTTACAGCAACACGTAAAAGTTCTCGTCTTGGATTACGTTTATGACGTGTTTGAGATAAATAATTGTAAAAGCCATTTGTTCGATATTGTCGTATTCCATCATTTTCTCGAAATTTCATATCTTTTGAAAAGTCAATAGTTGGTAATAATTCAATTTCACATCCAGAAAAAAATGCACGTGCAAATTCAATAATAACATCAAGTGGTGCAGCTCTAAAAGGTTATATTAATAATTTGATACGAGAAAACAACAATAATCATTTTTACCGAGGATGATTAATACTACCAACTGGTTGAATATAAATAGTTTTGTAACTATCATATGAAAAAGAAATCTTCTCAGCAAAAGATCAGGAACAAATAAGCTATTACTTACGTTCCATGCGGAACAGCTTTTAATACAATGCATTCAAATGATTTCATAGTTTCTCCCGTTTCTTGATGATTTCTCAACCAGTCATCACGACTAGGTTTTGGTACTTGTTGAAAACTCTCATCAGCTTTGTTTGTTACAGCCACTTTCATATCTCTTGGTAACTACAACAAGAATCAAATACGTAAAAGACAACCATATTCTATATACACTAGAGCTGTTTAATATCACCAAGAGCTTCAGCAATTCGTTTAGCATCCGGAGGTACAAAATTCATGGTTACTGTAATATGTAAAATCGTTGACAAAATTAAGTAATATAATAAAATATGGCTAGAACAATTTAGATAGGATTTCATGAGTCATAGTATTAATTATGAGTAATTTTATATAATTCTACCACACCAATGAATTTTTCGTTGATTTAACGACAACTTTTATGTAGATAAGAGCATGACAAGAGAGCAGCGATCTCTAGCGAAAAAGTTGATCTTTGAATGTGAATATGAGTGCATGGTTGATAAAAGGACTAACACTTAACACCCGCACGCACCCACATTCTAAATAAGGAAACACCGAAAACACCCACATCAACTCTAGTAGAAAATACTCTCTTGGCATATTTTTCACCAACACTACAAATGAAATGCTACAAACTCTTATTTGAAAATAGATCAATTTTCTTTCATAACACAAAAGTAATATTTAATAATATTTACTTACTCTGCCTGCATGCAAAGAAAAAAACAAATGAAATCCTACCATTAGAAAAATCAGGTGATCGAATTCGTTGGATACACAGATATTAATTTATTTTTATCGTAGTGCCAATAGCAGGGCGTTCTTTATTTTAACAATTGCCATATAGTTCATGAAAATTACGAGAAAGTCGGAAAAGATCGTCAATTTTAGTGAACAAATCGAGATGTAAGTCCGTAATACAAGTGCCGATTTTCATGAATCAGATCGTTTCTTCTATTATGAAAGGCTATTTTGTGTTGAAAAGCTTTCTGAAATCCTAAAAGGAAATCAAAGATAAAGAGACTTTTCAATATAAATTGAATGCGATTTTCCTGTTGTGCCGTAGTGTTCAACTTGATTTTAACTGAAATTTCAAATTTTACCGTACAATGATAGAGAGCAAGACACACAGCGTTGGTTATCTCGTAGATAAACGCGCTGAGATAGATATGATGACTGTAGTTTCTAGCTTTTGATAAAGTGTAGCTTGTAAGTGGAATTTCAATTCAATTCAAGTTTAAAGTTTAATTCATGGGATTAAGTGTAAGATGGGCGCAAAAGAAAGAACAAGATAAATGCAAAAATTGTCTTTTCAATCTGATTCAAATGAATACATCTAGCTGCGCTCTTTGTTGAAGTTGCAATTGACGTTGACGCTGACGTTGACGGAGTGTATGTTGGTTTTGGCGTTGTTGTTGTTGTTGTCGATGATTTTGTTGTTGTTGTTGGAACCGTGATATTTATCGGTATGACATAGTTACGTTGAATTAGTTCAACGATAGCTTCTGCATTTGATTGTGAAGCACATAAACGTTGGTTGCAAGTATAAGCCATCTCATCAAATATCGGATCTTGAGAAACTACATGAGCCCAGTCAAGTTCTGGTTGTTCTGTGGAATTGGCACATCTACTATGAAATTCTAAGGGTCTGCCATCAGACCAGACTCGATAAGTTGCCTTACAGAATCCTTGACCAGAACATGGTTGACTACTTGGGCAAGTATCATGAGGTCGTGGATCACTTGAATTAAAGAGCACATCGGCTAGATTCTTTTGTAAACTCTTAACTTGGTTCTGGACTTTAAGCCAATCTTTTTTCAAAACCTCTTTGACAAAGTCTTGATCACAGTTGTCTGCTGTAGAACAGTCCAATCCAATCATTAGATTGGATGTTTCATTGTAAAGTGCGAATATGGTAATCGTATAGAAATAAAAACTCTGTGGTGGAGTTTGAGCATGAATACGTCCAACAATTAAACCAGAGCCGTAATCTAATGTCAACTCAACTTGACAACTTTGCTCAGTAGAGGGTTTATCCACTACAGTGCAAGATGGAAAAGTAATATTGTTGATGGAAGTGAAGAAATTGCAATTGGCGGCACAGACCAGACCATTAACAAGTCGATTTGATGCTGATAACCATAAGATAAAGACATAGGCGAAGCATGGCTGATACGTGGAAAAACAGTTGATATTCATTCCTTTTCTTCTTTTAATGTGTTCTTTCTCATTTACCGGTGTAGTGTGGAGAATGCTTATCGTCCTCTTGCATTATGTTTCTTCTATTCTGACGCACTTGCCATCGAAAACAACCAATGAATACACAGTAAAAGGCCTTATCAGTAACAATGTACTTTGGGTGAATAATTATGCATCCGTAGATACGTACATAAAACCGTTTAAATAAGTTTGTTAGCGTAGCTCTCTTGCACTAAAATGCGAAGCTAACATATAGGGTGTGGGTGTGGGTGAAAGGAAGAAGTACATCCCCATCTACATCGTGCCCACACGCACCCTGATCGTTCCTAAACCACACCTTACAGTTGGACAAAGTTTCACTAACAAGGATATTATACATAAGAATCTGCAATCTGGAATTGTCTATCATTTTACATGTAATGATTGTCCTTCTCAATATATAGGACAAACTAGTAGGCAAGCGATCAGACGCATAATTGAACATGGCTATTCTGTACCAATATCTATTGATGAATCAATACCCTCAGTAACATCTCAAATAGATTCAACTGATACACCACCACTGAGAAGATTTAATCGCTTAAAAGAAGAAAGATTATAGACCGGAACAATATCTGGTGGCCAGTTGAATCCAAATTCTCAATGTCGGGAGTGGGAGAGCGTTCATAGGAATTCGTATAAACGTTCCGATTTAAAATCGGCTCTAGCAAGACATGCAGTAGAATTTAATCATCAAATCAATTAATTCTGATTGAAAGATCCTGTTTAAAGATAGTACGATCCACAGATTAAAAGTTAAAGAAACATTAGCTATTATGGCTTAAAAACCTGATCTTAATGCAACTACTCGTTCTACTCCATTAATTATTTTTCCGGAAGGTATAACAAATAAAAAGAAAGTCAAGTTTAAATTAAAATAGAATATCGTAGATTTTTCTAGATTATATGACTCATCAAATATTTAAGTACAAACATTTAGCGCATATATATACGTCGTTATTTCTGCTTTCCTTTGATTTAATCTATTTCTTCAACATAGTTTCTTGGAAATGATGATTAAACTCATCGAAAGCTCGAGTGGTTTTTAGTGTTATTATTGTAATCGTTATATATTTTTGTTTTTTTAATAAAGAGAAACGTTCTTAGCTGCTGTGAAATCAATTTTATATATTAATTAGCTTAATTTATAATTACTTCAGTAGATTGGAATGATGTTATTTTGTTAAAAAAAAACTTTTTAAATATTTGTAATCATTTTACAATTGTCTTCATTTTACAATGAGATTGATTAATTAGAAGGATAAAAAGAAACATCTTAGATAACGAAAAAGAGATAGTTGAAGAATGACACAGATCAGAGTTTTCTGAGATATAATAAAATAAATAAAACATAGAAGAATTTCAGATATATTAGATCGTTTATTATATAATAATTTCATGCATTGTCGTATTGGTTGCCATTCACATTTTTCTTATTTATTCCCATGTCGCCTCTTTTGGGTGTGAGTGGGATGTGGGGGTGTGGATGTGGGTGTTGTGTTCTCTTTATCGAGACCCATACCCACACCCACCCACATCCACACCCACCCACATCCACACCCACCCACATCCACACCCGCACTCATACCCACACCCACATCCACACCGACCCACATCCATACCCGCACCCACACTCATACCCACACACCCTGTCATCAAATATGCATTGTCCTTGCAAATTTTGCCAGAGTACTGAATCTTCATTTGTCTGTTACATTCTCAATCAATGGTACGTCGACATCGATTTTCATAATCACAAACATCTATTGATTTCACTATTTAGTCTTATTCTACCAGCTGTTCATCGTCTGATCATTTTATTTTTTGTCGAACGTATCAAAATCGACTCGAAATTCTTGATTGTATCTAACTGGTTATTTACTTTTGTTCATTTCGCTAACATTCACCTTCGTCATCTTGTCGTACCATAAGATATGTAAAAAAAAAAGAATTCAATAGTTCAATGAATCATTTTTGTCAACAATTAATCTGACGTCGTTCCTATACAGTTTTTACATGCTGATCGTGTTATCTACGTATGTAAGAAAAAAAGGATAGAAAAAAATCTAATTTTAATAATTTATAACAATGTTTTGCGTTTTTGTCGATATTCGAACGTGGAATCCTGGTTTTTTTAATGATTTCTCGTATCTATACAGACAAACTATGAAGTTATCTTTTAGCGAAAATCAGATTACTATTGTCCAATACTAGCACTTTAATATCATCGATACCAATTAATTCAAAATAGTCTGAATTCTTTATAGTCGGTTTCTGTGACTTTACAATAGAAAATCGAGCCACATCACAAATTTAACATGATCTACTCTAAAATCGTAATGTTGAACCAATTTTTTTTTAAATGTTTCTCTATTCGTACATATCAAAGCATTGAAACAACGAGGAAAAATAGTATGGGTGTGGATGTGTGAGTGTGGGTCTGAGTGTTGCTATAGGCGTGGTCGTGAGTGTGGATATAGGTGTGAGTAAAAAGAAATGGAATCCCCCACACCCACATCCTACTGTCACTCTCATTTTCTTCTCATAGTCTTAAAATAGTATTCATTATCCATCGTTCATTACAATTAAGTTCCTGATTTGTACGCCTTGATGAGGCGAACAATGTCCAAAAATTGAGAAATAATTCTCAAAATCTAAATCACGCGTTACCTATAGCATTCTTCATATTCAACCTAATATCGACGAAAAGCTGTGCAACCATAATGGGTACATGTAACAGTGTTGAGGATACTGCATTATTTTGGTTTGGAAATGCAGAAGTTGTCGGAATCCAGAAGAAAATTATTTTCCAGCCATTAGTCAGTCTTCATACGATGAAAATTTGTCCATTTCGAAAGGTGATAGATTTAAATAAAGCACGAAAATAATCATGTGCATATAAATATTATTTGTATACCTCTCTCTAAGGTATAAGACGATGTTGATGATGGATGACAGAAAAGTCAATATTATTTTTTCATTTGAAACAACGTCAAAAGATTCGAAATCTATTGTCGGCGCCAGAATTAAATAGGGGTGGGTATAAAACGAATATCTCGAGAATGGCAGTAGCTAGCGATCTGTGGCTTTCACCAACTGAAAGAGTAGAAGTTGGGACGTCTTTTTCTCCGATAATGTATAAGATAAAATCCTTTTAAAAGTAATCATCTTTGAAAAATATGCAAAAGAATGCATGAAAGTGACCTTTTATCTAGATGAAATTTTGATTTTGCCCTTTGATTTAGACCGAGGGACTTGAGATCTATAGTTTAAGATACAATGCGCTTTTTTACTTTTCATTATATTTTTATCGAAAATCCACGCTATTATCAGAAAAAGTGTGAAAACTTAGTAAAAAATCAGTATAATTCCCTATTATTTCTTGCATGTAAATACATGATTCCATTTGCTCAATGTTAGAATGCAATAGGAGAACCATTTGCATTGTATCTTAAACTATAGATCTCAAGTCCCTCTGTCTAAATCAAAGGGCAAAATCAAAATTTCATCTAGATAAAAGGTTACTTTCATGCATTCTTTTGCATGTTTTTCAAAGATAATTATTTTTAAAAGGATTTTGTCTTATATATTATCGGAGAAAAAGACGTCCCAACTTCTACTCTTTCAGTTGGTGAAAGCCGCAGGTCGCTAGCTACTGCCGTTCTCGAGATATTCGTTCTACACCCACCCCTATTTAATTCTGGCGCCGACAATAATTACGTTTTCTTTTTTTCTTCTTATGGCAACAATTAATTGAATAGTTCATGAGTACTGTGTATAAGAAGAGAGACTGTATAATACAGGTTTCGTTCGAATAAATATAAAAGAAAAATATAAACAACAAAATTGAAACTTATACGTCTTTCATTATCAAACAACAGAATTGAAATTCAAGAGGCAATCCTTTTGCTTATAAGAATAGTATTTCTGCGCATTATTTTGCCAGTCTCTTTCTATCTTCGATTCATTTCATTTGAATAATTTTTAGTTAGAACTCGGCAACCCAATAGGCTTTTCGAATTAGAAATGATAGTAGGACGTAGCGAATGGTCGACAGAAGAAGCTTCAGGTTTCAACAAAGTTGAATATATTCAGAAAGACCTCAATGCAATCAAGAACGTGTCTGAAAGTAAGGAATCCTCCATCTCTCTCAGTGCTTCATAGATTTAATGAATTTCAGTCCGTGTTCCTCAGATAATACCAACTATTCTGTTCAGTGCGATTATTGGAGGTTTGGTTGCTAGTGTTGCTTTGGCGGCAGTACTTACTGTCTACATCAATGATCAATCGAAGCAAGGTATTTGTGTGATCTGAAAATGAAAACAGTTAAACTCTTCGCGAGGTAGGGTGGGTGGGTGTGGGTGTGAGTGTGAGGTGTGGGTGTGGGTGAGTGTGGAGATGGGAATGTAGGCGAAGAGAACACTCACTACAACACCTACTCTTCTTCATACCCCCACTCACACCCACACCCACACCCACACCCACACTCACACCCACACTCACACCCACGCCCTCTAAAAGAAATGGTAGTATCATCAGAAGCTGAAGAAACCGCCAAATCTCATGGTACCTCTCCTTCCGCCCCAAAAGACTTGGCATTTTACCGCGACGAGATAGAACGAGGCGGTGTAACACCGCGACTC